CATTTTTGACATAAAATACGAATTATCAATATTGAAAATGAGTTTGTAGCCTAAACGGCTGAACGGATTGCGATGAAATTTGGCTTAGATGTAGAGGATAGTCTGGAAGAACACATAGGCCCACTTTTATATTTTTTATTCTACGCGAAGGGAATCACGGGGGAAAGCTTACATTATATAAAATAATAAAGAAAACAAAATTAGTATTTATCAGTTTATATTGTACTCACCATGACGATATTAGACTGGTTGAGCAGCTGCTGCTGCGGCACGGCGCCGCCCAGGCCCGCTAGCTGCACCAGGTTGCCGTTCAGGTTTATCACTGCTGTAAGTTAAAACACTTGTAAATCAATTTATTGACTTTGATTCATTACAATCATGTTAAACAGTATTAATAAGACACTGCCGTACTTAGAATAGTCAAGTCCTTAATATGTGAAATCTCCAATGATAATCTTTATCTCTACTAATAGTACATAGAGGAAAGATTTGTATTTTTATACTTTTACATGTATATAACTCAAAAACTATTGGACCGATTTTAAAAATTCTTTCACCAAAAAAAAAGCTACGTTACCAACGAGTAACAGGGTTTTTTTTACTATTTTTTAAATCACGCGGACGTAATCGCTAACAACAGCTAGTGGAGTAGTAAACTTACAACTGGCGGTATAACAAGTTTGTTTGACTTACCGGGTTGGTGTATGATCTGGTGCTGGTCGATGGCAGGCTGCGGGGCGCTTGTAGGCTGGTAAATGAATGTTTGTCCGTCCGCAGTTTGTACAAGTTGCATCGGCTGCAAATTATTACCCGCACCTGCAAGTCCACAGTAAACCTTGCTAATTGGCCGCTGCGACTTCTTTGTTGCCGATTGAGCGAAAGTTATAGGAGTCTGAAAGTATACCTTGCAAACTGGACATTGGCAGCACTTGCAATTGTTGTATCTGCTGACCGTTAGGGGTTGCTACCTGTAAATAAAATGCACTCATTATAAATTTTCCGTAAGATTTTTGTTTCAATCTATACTAATATAAAGAGAAGAGATTTTTGTATTGTTGTATGTATTGAAGTAACACAAAACTACTGAGCCGATTTCAAAAATTCTTTCACCATTAGAAAGGTAATTTATCCGTAAGTAACATAGTCCATTATTATTATTTTTTTAATTTTACGGGGACGAAGTCGTTAACAACAGTTAGTCTATAATAAATTTCATTAAATTTGTTAAGGAAAAATTTGGCAGGTGTGCACTGACCCTTACATTTATGACTTCAGTAAAATCAGATATAGAGTTGATACAATAATATCTTGATAAAGCTAAAATATGATTTGATAAAAGCATGCACGATTACAATTGTGCAAATATATCGACAAAATGTTAAGCGGTATTTTTTTTGTGACTGAATTCACCGGGCTTGAGGCGGCTCAGCGCGGATGGCGCTTAGCCTAAACTTCATTTATGAGTAACTAAGCTCAAGGGCTCCCTCAGGAGCCTCGGCACGAGTTGTTACTTCGATATTATTATCGGATTGGGTTAAGCGGTATTTGTTGAAAGAATCTATATCAATAACTGTTTTCACAGAGATTAATAGGAACAACAAAGAGAATAAATAAAGTTTTTTATAACTTCAATTAAAAGGGATACCAGTTTGTTAATATCTTTGTTATCTTATAGTTTTGTACAGTAGCAGAAAACCGTGCTGTTCTTACTGAAATATGCCCGTGTTACTTGCAAAGACAAACTCCTCTTATTACAAACAACCAATTAGGCAGCAGTAAAGACGAGATAATGATAAAATATAGCAGTGTAACACTGACGGAATATTTTTCGTAAAGGCATTTAAAAAGTGCGTCCTATTTTGTTTCGCGTCTTCGTACTAATGCGTACGAAACGTGCAAGCGAGACAAATACTGTAGCTTTAAACTTAGAACACCGCAAGATTCTCCGACTGTACATAGTAAAATAAACGATAAGAAGCTATTGAAAAAAAAAACAGCAAATAATAAAAGCATATGAAATCGATATTACCACCTGGATCTGAGGGGCTCCAATCTGAATGCATGTAGGAACAATGCAAATTATAATTAATTTTGAAAAAAAAATCTTAATACCTTATAGCAACATTACGATAAAATTAAAAATGGTCTATTATAAGTTAATTTGTACAGAGTAGTAATTAAAAATGATTTACGCAAGTGAAATATCCTACTGCTTGAGAAACCATCCAAACTAAGATACATATATGACTGAGCGGAAAGGATCGAAATTAAGAATACCAATAAATGGCTATTTGCACTCAGCAATAAAACAAGAGCTGCCAGAGTCGTGCAGTTAACGCTTAGTGGAAATAGGGACTAAATCATCAATTATTTTATTGTCTTATTATTTTACCTGTATAGCCTGTGCGTTTGGTTGTATTGTGTGCACGACGATCTGTTGTCCGTTGGGCCCCTGCACCATGTGCGGAGGGTTGCTCATCTGCAGAACCTGCATCTGCTGACCGTTGAGGGTCACCATCTGCGGACCCTCAGAGCCCTGAATCTGAGCGTGCTCCATCCTCTAACACTAAAAAGGGGCCATAAAAATAATCCATACGTTCCATTTAACATGCGTGAATATTTAAAGCCTACGCACGTCTGAAACTAAACTATCGTATAACTGTTTAGTCGCTCTTTTATTTTTATGCGCTTATATGGAGGTGCGCACACTTCTCGATTTTTAGTTGTTCAACTGAAGTGCTAAAAGAGCTGTGAAACAATCGACAATCGCACAATTGTTGTGCGATAGTTTAGTCCAAAGTGTTCGTCTGCTCTTAGCGTTCGACCTTATAACTAGGTGTAAACTGATAGAATTTATTCAATTAATCTCTAGAAACATCCATTTGGATCCGTTAAAGTAAAAGTTTTACAGTTTGAATTAATTAGTTTCATGCGATAAAATTACTCAAATTGAGAGTACTTACTGTATTTTTTGTAGATAAAATAAATTAAATAAAAAACAGATAAGAATATTAAATATGTATAGACCGCCTTTGCAACAAACAGTATTCTGATATCGCGGTATTTCCCCGCTCGTTAGTTTATTTGTATCGACATAGCGATTAAAATATGAATTATCGTAATCAATTTGTATTTCTAAGTTGGTGTGGAAGGAGATGTAACAAATTTTGGGGCAAACTTCAACTGCACAAAATCTAATTTTCAATTAGCGTAACGCGCGCGGCTGGCTTTGTGGAAACAGATCCTAAGCCTTGCTTATTCACATAAAATTAATGCATCTTGCAACTTGTGAGTCGAAAGTGCAATTGCTTTTAGGTGTTTTTGTGTTAAGTTTTAAACATTTTCTAACCAATCCCATTCTATTCGAATCGTATTTAATTATTTAAGAAGAATACAGATATTAATTCAATATAGGAAGAAGCGATCATTATAATAACTCTCTTTCTCGTTCTCTCTTCCCACTCCTAATAAGTTAAATGGCTTAAACAGCATTATCCGTAAATCCTTACAATTGTCGTAATTTGTGCTACTCTTTTTTCCATTTTACTGGAAATTAGTATCGTAATATCAGACAAGACAAATTACAAATCCAATAAAGATAATTTTAACATTTAATGTAAATCTGACTACAGGAGTGCGTAGTTACCGAAACCTTCTAGAAAGTGCCTCCATGAACATTATTGTCTACTAGATCTAGGATTTTTGCAACTAAATTATTTACTACTCTAATTTATTCATAACCAATTAATAAAGCCTAGAAATAATTTTCAAAACTTTAGATATCTGCCTAATTGAGTTACTATGCAAGTTGATGTTAAATTATGTCTTTTTAGGGTCGTGGACTACGGTGATATGTAGAAATAAGGTTATAAAGGGGATAACATTTTTTGAAAAATAAAACAGGTTCTGAGAAAGAAGTAGTTTATAAAGTAGCTTAACTTAGACCCAAAAACAATCATAATTTTATCATAAAAGTTACTACGTCACTCGTGCGAGGCCAACGCGACGCAGAGAACGCAATCAAAATGGCTGCTTTTCAACTACAAAATGTTCATAAATGCTATGCAAAAAAACTTAGGGAAATGTTGGAAAAGTTTTGCCAAAATTATGAAAGCTTAAGAGCCTAACCATCACCGGGTAATATTCAATGAAAATTGTGAACTTACATTGGATATCCTCACTGGTTTTTCGATGATTGGTTGACAAAGGATAGACCAATGGCCGGTGTCAATGATCACAAGAACGTTGTAGATTGGTTCGGCGCATTACCACTCCCAAAGAAGCGCGGCTGCTCTACTATCCAATACTCGTTGTCGTAATTAAAACATTCTCTATGGTTTCGAAATGATACCATACTTTTTTTTCTTTTAAAAATTATATTGGTGTTAAATATTAAAAAGAAGCAAAAGTCGCGTTTTCCCTTGTCGGTCTTGTTTCTAACAAATATTTTATATTGCTTGCTTTTCAAAACATTATAAAATCTGATTGGAAAAGGCGTTGAAAACTTTTAATTTTCACCAGTTTTCTTTTATTTTATCCATAATTTACACAAAATAATAAAAACGTTATCATAAATAACACTTATGATAGATTTAATTAAATTAGAATTAAAAGACCTAATTTAATTTTAGCAAAAAGTTAACATTTGGAAACTGTATAGTTTTTGAATCTGTTGTCAATAAAACATACTTCAATCTATGGTTTTAAAAACATAAAGGACGCGAAATTTTATTTTTGTGTTTTATACATTGTGAATATTGATTTGATGATATTTTCTCTTCACCTATCAATGTATTAAGCAAACATCAATACCGTTAACGCTAACATAAGATGAATTCATCAATATCTACCGATTTACCACGGCAGCACTTGGCATTGTTAGCTGCGAATTGTTTGAGTAGGTTATTTTTTTAAAATTAGAAGTTTATCTTCCTTTCGTTTGTTTAGTATTTTGACAGTAAAGTTGCTTGTTTTTATTTCAGAAGACATTGCAGAAAATACAAAAAACTTAAGTGCACATCAAAAGGAGTTATTGGAACTAAACCTATCAATAACAACGTATATTGAAGAAAGTAAGATTCGTTTGAAAGCTCTTCGTTTAGAATTGGCCAACCAAGCTAATAGTTCTATAAAAGTCGCGGAGATACTGTCGAGGAGAGGTACTTACCATACTTGTACTACCTTACTTTGTTAATAACATTACCTTGTTGATCTAACCTGCCATCTGGTTTTTATGTTACTGGTATATCAATAGATATTTAATTTAATACTCCCTAATTAAGAACTTGATCCAAATAATATATCCATGACAAGTTTGTTTCAGTTTTCATATTCAAAAATATAACACTGTGTCATTCTTTACAGACTAAATATGTCGCAGTCACAGACAACTCCACAAAATCAAAGTAAAACCAGGCGATTATCCACAAAAATAATAAAAGAGGATAACAATAACACAAACTCTAAACATTCTAAAAGACAAAATGCAAGAACATTTGTAGCATGGTACAAACAAATGATAGATGACGATCGGCAGAACCTAGTGTTGTATTTATCTGATGATGCAACATTGGAATGGTTTGGTCGGACAATAAAAAGTAGAAAAAAAGTTACCGCATTCCTTCGATATGATATGCAATGCTCGAGACATGATTTCCGAAGTGTTGATTGTATAGATCATATACCACGGAGACATGAACCAATATTGAGGTTTGTATAATACATATTCATCTTACCTTATCCTTTTTTATTCTTAATAAATTCTGTTAATATTGTTTTTATAGTTTTTTTTAATATCTACCTTAAAAAGTTTTATGAAATTAGGATTTACTCCAATTTATATCCCTTAATTTCAATTATTACTTTTTGAGAAAAATATATAACCCATTTCAGAAGGAATGAAACAGTTTTAGCAACTCCATTAGAAAACTCCCCAGAAATTTGTAAGTCGGGACCAGAGAGAGGTAAAAAGCGCTTATTACCCTCCAACTCTAATAGTCCGGAATGGGCTGAAAACTGTGGACCAGACAGTGATGTTAAACCCACTGAAAGGAAACGACAAAAGAAAAATATACAATTAAATAACGAAGGTCAATTAAATGTTAAATTAAGTACAGAAAAGGATTCGCAAGAATGTTTAAGTAATAAGGGTGATTTTGCATTTATTAAGCGAGTGGTGAAACGGAAATGTTGTATGGTAACACCTCCAAATTTAGAAGTAGGGCAAGGTGATTGCCTTCCTTCTACAAGTGGTACAGATTCAGATAGATCACATGATACATTGAATGCCCAATTGCCGAGGCTAGCGGTAGAATGTGATGGTTATATAGAGTTTAATAGGACAAGAAATCATAGCATTGATTCTGTAAAATGGGAACGAAAATGTAAAGTTCAAATATCATATTCCGAAGATCCTTTAAATGTAGGTGAGTATATAATTTGGAATATTCGGTATAATGATGAAACTAAATGCAGACGTAATCTCTTGTCTGCGTTTGAGGAAATTGCTAAGGAGGAAGAATTAAAAAAGATAGATTTATGAATTATGGTTAAATGTTTAGTAAATGTTCTATTTTATTGAGGATTTAATTATCCCTATTTTTGTAACTTCTAGAAATGGACAGTAATTTACACAGCAAAGATATGTAAAGGCCAATGTAATACTTCAAAGTTTCCATATTTTTTCTGATATAAACTGTACTACATTCTATGTTTTTCGATCAGACAACTGATCAATTGGGCAAATGAAAATTCTTTACCTATATGGTCAGTTGTAGCCATAGATTTAATAATTCTAACAACCCAACTATTCTAGATGATTTTCATATACACATTGCCTCATGTTTAGTTAATTATACAAATGTTAAAATATTTCAGTACTTATCATGAAATATATGTAATTTGATTTAAATATTTTTATAGGACAATTTAAAACATGTTTTACACGAAGCATTTACGATATATTGATAACAATAGATAAAGGACCCAGTGGACCAAATAATATAAGTTAAAATTATTGCGTCCAAAGTTAAAATAAATCCAGTGAAAATTACTTGTCTATGGATTTATATGACAGTACTATCCATAGACATTGTCTGTGGTACCAATGTTTATTAATTTGATAAAGGTTGTTTCCATTTTCCAGAAAATTAAGTGTTACTATGTGATACCTACTTTAATAAGTATAAAATTAGATTGTATTTTTGATATATTTGTAGATTTTATTGTTATGACGAAATACCTTTTAGGTCTTATGAAATTTATAGTTAAACTATATATGTTTATGTAAGTGTTGCCACTGTAAATGCTTGTTCAAAATATATTGACTTCCTGCATTTTTTGAAAGAAAAAAAAAAACAATGTCAGTTTAAATGCATGTTGATAGGTTTATGAACAAATTAAGTTGAACATTTTACAGTAAGGGACATTGTCATGGTCATAGCTAAAAATTTATACAATTCTTGTAATTTTTAGGCAATGAAATAACATTTATGAAATGGAACATTTCTGATACTATTGTTTAAAATAAGTTTATTTAAAAATAATATGCGTGGGTCAGCAATTACTAGTTTATTTAACTGCCAAATACTGAAACTGAATTCTTTGTGACGTTGTCTTGATAAGGCCACACTTAAACTCCAAATTCTGCTAAAACTTTGATGTATGTCAAATCGTAAGTGAGAAAGTGAAGTGCTTAAGATTAGTTTCAGTATTTGGCAGTATGATCAAGTTGTGGTTAACAATATTAATTTATACAAACTATTTACAACTACATAAAGGTATGATGTCCCATTTTATTATTTTGTTTAACTATTTTTGTATTTATATTTATACATTCCCATATTAATAGTGTTTAAAATGTTATTTCTCATGTCCTTTTATTTACATTGTCACAAAAAACAAACACATCTTAAAGTATCGAAAATGTAACATATCAATCTCAGGAAAAATACCAAACCACCGATGCATGATTTCTTTACTTTTATCCTAAGCTAATTTTAGATGTGTATTGTAGATTGGAATAGTATAATGTATAGATCACCTTTTAACACTTTCAATGCCACATATTCGCGGACATTAGTTACGTAAATATTTTAGTGGCATTGAGAGTGTTAGGTTGTATTTTTATATTCCGACACTCGGTAACTTATTAGCTGGTCTACTATCGAGCATTGTGACGTTGAACATATTTAAATATTCACTTTTCTGCTAACATTTCAAGTTACTTTTACAACAAAGGTGATTTTGATTTTTTTAATGTCTCAAGGTTTGTTTACACATTGATTGTGTAATAATTTTTATTTAGAAACTGTAAGACTTTGATTTCTCGATTACTGAAATGTAATTAAATTTGTTTAAGATTATAAGCCACTATTCGCACTGGCGCTTTTATAACGCGCGATAAAAAAAAATTGAAATAGAATAAAGCACTGCCTTCTGAAAATTACCATGAATTTGCGTATGGCAGCGCTTTTAAAACGCGATGCTTTTTTATAGCAACGCTACATTTTAGCGCTAGTATTTCAGAAGTTTCGTATAAGTGCGATAAAAATGCGCAAGTGCGAATGAGCTTAAGTTAAGTATTTTAAGTTTATTATGTTATGGATATTACTTATGAAGTAATGGAGTTGAAGTGGTTTTTTGTTCGAATATGCTAGAGATGATTAAGCTGAATAAATATTTTTAGACATTATTGTCTTTATAGACATTTTTAATATTACCCTGATTTTATGATTAACTAGATTTCGTCCGCGACTCCGTCCTCGTGTAAAAACAAAAAGGTGCCTACGTGTTCTTTCAGACTATTCTCTACATCTATGCCAAATTTCATTGACATCCGTTGAGCGTTTTAAATGAGACAATTGCGCCAATTTTATTAGACAGATGTTTTTCGTTGGGCCGATCGGTCCAATGGCATTTTTTTCCATTAGGTCGTTAGAATCCATAGAATTAATCTGCCCAACGGGATACGCCTAGTTTGACTAGAATTGTTTTCCACAGCTATATGAAAATTATCTTTTAGTATATTGATTTCTGATTACCATTGTTCTAATTTTATTTTTAACACCAGTAAGGACATTTACAACAAGCGATAATGACAATGTAGGTCAAAAAGTATTTCCGTATTCAAGTATAAAATTATATTTCATGATAAAAAAACTAAATTATTCTTTACATTACTTTATTTGTTCCATACTCAATACACAAATTGGCATTTATAAAAATATACATACTAAGAAACTATGTAATACATATTATGCTTTTAACAACATCTTAAGGCAGAAAAAAATGTATAACAGACAAAAGTAAAGGATTATTACAATGAGTAAGATAAAAAGGGACATATATTTTTGTACAATAGTTGCAATTTATATGCCATAATCTATCTCCTAATATAAGCAAAGGATGTCTCCTTTAGAAAATTTCTTGTATCTACCCCCTTTCACTTATCAGAATTAAAAAAAAATCATCACCTCACTATATGCCCCATTAACCATTAAGAAGGCCCTAGAATTCAAATTTAGGGGTGACTAGACTATATATTCTATGTAGTCAGCGTGGTAGAATATATAGCATATATATTCTGGCCCAGTGCAGGTTGCTTGACTTCACACATATCTTTGAATCTCTTTGCAGATATTTACTAGTTGCAATAGTTTCCTTCACCATAAAAACAGAGGTAAAAGTAATTACATGTGAAATTAGTACACGGCGGGATTTTAACCCAGGAACTGCAGATTACCAGTTAAGTGCTGAACCCCTGAACAATCATCGTTTTTAATTATTTTTTTTAACAATACTGATAGAGACATAAAAACATCATACCATAATAATATAGTAACAAGATGGAACAAATCAAAAATACAGCATAGCATATTTTTTTTTATAATATAAGGTGGCAAACGAGCAAGCGGCCACCTGAATCCACCGAAATGGAAAGCGACCGCTGCCAATAAACATCCGCAATTGCAAATGCGTTGCCTACCCTTAACTGACGGAGGAGGAGACGCACATGAAGAAGGCATTTCCCCTTTCCATGCGTCTCTTCCACCATGAAATCAACTTTTCCTTTCCATTCTTTCCTCTTAAGCAAAGGATGGATAGGGAAAGGGACTAAAATTGGGCCTCAGCACCACACTTATCAGAGAAAACACGGTATTGCTTCCACTTCAAGCCTGTTTTCTGTGTGGTCGTGGTATTACACCGGGCGAGCCGACCCATTCGTGCGAAGATGTTAAAACGAGCTCTACCACTTTTAATAATAGATATTGAAGTATATAATTTGAAGTCACTACATTAGCATCTTTTACTTTCTAGAGAATAAACAATAAAACTTTTTTCTCAATAAAAGGCCAATATTTGAGTATTGTATGCTATGAAAATATAATTTTCTAAATGCGTATTGAGCAAAGAAGCAAATAATTGTCAGATCTAAATATTACTAATGCACAGAAGTTTTGCTGAATTACATCACTTGTTATCTGTCGGTACAGAGGAGACTAGGGCAGGATAGTGCTGGACATGGTCACTATTTGGTGGACTCATCAGTAAACCTTCTATGCACAGTTAATATTTGTGGCACCACAATGGCTACATCTTAATATTACATATATATACCTAATTATAGTTATAAAAATGTTATTCAAATTGTATACATACAATTACAAATAAGTGGCCAGCAATCCAGACAAAATTGCTTTGCACATATTTGTATAATAATTTTGTGATGATTGAAGGAACTTACAAAAATAAAAAAAACATACTTAAAAAAAATTAGCCAACTTAGTGATTGGTATAAAACAGTTGAGAATTTTTAAAATTTAACATTCATAAAACCATTAAAAAGATTAGATGCAAAATTCATAGTTTTAAAGCTTTGAAAGATTTAATAAATGGAAGCCTAATTATTTTCATAATCAGATTAAAAAAGAATGTCATGAGCCTCTTAGTCAAACATTTCATAAAAATAATTATTATAACTGTATTAATTAAGTATGAAAAGTTAGTTTAAATAGTTTAGTAAAGTTAAAAATATTCCATTACCTATAAAAAGGAGTCATATAATAGGCAGAGAAACAAAAAACATTTCTAAGCTACTTTTCTATTGATATGTGGCACAGTTTATTCTAATTCAAGACCTAAAGTTTTGTAAACAAAATTTTTCCCACATTTGTGGAAATTCTCATCGCATTACATAAGCAATCTGTATTATGCAACTTTAGGTAAGAATAAATTCTAAACCTTTAAAATGTAACAAAATACAGCACCTCAGGGTAATTCTACAAATTTTTATCAATTGTACTTCATCTTTGTAAATTAAGAGCCTGTCCCACCACTGGCTGATAGATCCTTAGATAAAAACATGATGTCACTGTCAGATAAGGTAAAATCCAATATATCCATAACATATTTTACACATTGGATTATTGTCAGACAATTTAACAATTTGGTAGGACTGACACTAAAAAATTTAATAATGCTTGGTAATTGTAACAAAATGCCTATTTGATAATATGATTATAGAATTAAACAAGTGAACTCTTAATTTAAAGATCAAAGTCAAGCTTAATTTCCAGTTCACCTGAATCTTTTAACATCTATAGAGTAAATACTTTAGTATCACACCATACTGAGGGATGACTATACTTGCCTTGGCTAGACTTGTTGATCAAAATCATTGCCATCATTTAATACATTTGGATCCTCAATTTCTTCCTTAGCATCATTCTCCAAAGCAGGATCATTAATTTGATTATGAACATTTAATGCTGGACTTAATTTCGGAGGCTGAGCCGCTGGAGTTACCTTAGAAGGAACCGAGGGATTAGGTGCACTTTTTGTGGTTAAAGCTGATTTTAATTTCAATATCTCTTTTTCCAATTCTTCTATCTTTTCTTTTCTCTCAGCTAATTGCGTCGAAAGTGTATCTTTTTCCAATCGCAATGTTTCTAATGTTGCAGACTTACTGACTTGGAGATTCTTCAAACTTTGTAGCTCAGTCTTACAAAAATCAAGATCAACTAGTGTACGATTTGCCTGAGTTTCGGCTTTTAATACTTTACTGTTGTACTCCGATAGTTGACTGTTGAGTTTTATTTTGTCTTGTTGCAACGCATTCATCTTTGTATTGTAGCCATCTCGTTGTTCTAGCAGGATTAACGACTCTTCCATACATGACGTTTGAGCTTTTGAACATTCCTGTAATTGTGAACTTATTTCACCTACTCTGTTTTGTAATTCGGTCTCCAAGCTCCAGCTATTGAAAAGTGAAAGGGTGAGTAAAATGCACACCGCAAACACGATGTACATAGGCCAGCGACGCATGTTTTCTATTCCCATATTAAAACAAACAACAAACTTAACACGTACGATTTAAATGTACGTTAAAAGAAAAAAATATTTTTAGCACACAAAAGGAGACAAACTCGTCTTACAAAATTAAACTTTGACGTTTCGTATCAGTGTTGACAGTTTCTAGCCTTCAATCAACGTCACAATGTAAACAAACTTGTTTGAAATTGTTTACAGTGATTAAACGCGAAAAATATACATTCTCTACTTCTTATATGGATATTTTTTTATAGATCAGTGAATTACAATGAAGTAATTATTTATCAATAATTTAAATTGCTTGTACTTTTCTAATTTCATTTTTTCTAAGATGTTTAAGGATCATGCTGGCAAGAAACTTAATTGGTCACGTGACCTGTCTGTGTACCATAGGCAAAATTCTTCATCGACTTCTTTGGTTTATAGCCACGAGGTTTTTAGCAATATTTCAATTTATCGGTGGAATAATAAACAGATACTTTATATCTGCAGTACAAAATGCCTCCCAGTAACCCTTTGCCACCAAAAGAAAATGCTCTATTTAAACGAATTTTGGTAAGTCTTGTTGTAAACACAAAATTTTGTTCGAGTAGCTTGTCATTCTTGGCTTTTAATTCTAAATAAAAAATATTTCCATCATAAGTAAAGTTCAAAAAGTACTACAATTATTCGTATTCTTCATCTATTTATCATAGCTTACTACTGTTTACCTAACATTGTTATTTATCTAATAAATGTAGCAAAAAGTTTAGTCGGCCTTGCACTATTTGAGTGCATCTAATAATAAATATAGGTTAACAATTTGTATAATCCAAATGTTATTTTACAGAGATGCTATGAACATAAACAATATAAAAATGGGTTGAAATTCGCGAAGCAAATATTGTCGAATCCAAAATTTGCGGAGCATGGAGGTGAGTGAAAAGTTTCAATAACAAAGTGATAAAATTACTTTAGCGGTTCAGTGATTCCAGTTTAATTCTATTTGTTGTTTATAGAAACGTTGGCAATGAAAGGATTGACGTTGAATTGCCTTGGTCGTAAAGAAGAAGCATACGATTACGTTCGTCGTGGTTTACGAAACGACCTGAAGTCTCCAGTATGCTGGCACGTCTATGGCCTACTACAGCGCTCCGACAAGAAGTACGATGAGGCTATCAAATGTTATCGTAATGCACTCAAGTGGGAGAAGGAAAATATACAAATTCTTCGTGATCTTTCACTGCTTCAGATTCAAATGAGAGATTTGGAAGGATATAAGGTAATTTTAACCATTCACTATAAATTATCCGCGCATTTTATTCATGTAGAGATAAGCAATAGAGTGGGCTTCTTTGGCCAGCTTGGCTGGTTACAGTACTTGTCCTAACACAAGCAGAACTTTTACAAAGTAGCCACTACTTTGAGTAGTGTATTAATGCATGTATTCAATGAGTTTTGTATAACTCATATAGCTGTTAGTGCTCATCAAAGAATTATTAAATTCTTTGTTTATCTGATTTATTGATATGTTTGTCCTGTAGAATTAATAATACAAACGGAAAACATGTAAATGTGTAGTACAGAGATATTTAATAATGTATCTTCATTTAAATTTTACAGAGCAAACTCGTGTTGTAATTGTGGTTTGAGTAGTATGTGGTTACTATTGCATAATCTGGTCAACTTAGATAAATCCATGTATCATACTTCAATTATTTCTAGTAGTAATATTGATTTTCTTATTGGATTTAAAAGGCTAATTAGATTTTGAATATTCAACAAATTGAATCTTGTTATGCATGTATATTTAGACATTTGTGTATTTCTTTTAAAAATTACCATATACAGTATTGAAAAATGCACTTGTCCATAGTGTTACAGGAGTATTAGAATCACAATAGCACTTGGGGATGGTCATATAGCGGGTTTTAGAGTTACACATAACCCTGTTGTTGCCTTACAATACAGGTGGTACACTTAGGAGTAATTGTATCTTGTGTATTATTTATTTTCTTCTTAATTGAAATATACTTGTAAAATATACATGGCCAGCACCGCACATACATTGTGAACAATTAAGTTATTATTAAAGAGATTGATGTCTGTATTGCAATGAGATGTGAAACAAATCTCTTTTACGTGAATGTGATATCCATTGTCTTAAAATGTTTTTGTCATAACATAACTGTTAACAATATAATGTTGACAATTTTTACATAATCTACAGTTTTAGAATAACATTTGTATGATTTTTATTTATTAATTACTTAATGTTCAATTATGATTCCTTTTACCATGTAATTTAATTACTAATAAATTTGTTAAGGGTATGGATTTTCATCCACATGACTGATGGTTTGATTCTCACCACTCAACTATAATAAACCATTCCTAGCACAAACCTAAAGCTTAGTTGGATACAAGAAATATCAGTAAACAAACATAAATCAGAATAATGTAGGTTTTCTGGTGGAATGCCCCAAATACCAAATAAAGATAGAGCTAATTTGATTCTTTAGCTTTTTTTTATCAAAAAAACTATAGGTCATTCTGTATTGTTAAAGCTTTTCTTTACGTTCTCACTAATCTCTTTTGATAAAATTTCTAATTGTTACATTCTAATGTTTTTCAGGACACAAGGTACCAGTTATTTATGTTGAGACCCACACAGAGAGCATCATGGATTGGTTTCGCTATGAGTTACCATCTCCTGGGTGATTACGAGATGGCGAATAGCATTCTAGATGCCTTCCGCACTAATCAGATGAAGGGACCATATGATTATGAACACTCGGAATTATTATTATATCAAAATATGGTGCTGGCTGAATCGGGACAGTATGAAAGGGCATTACAACATTTACATAAATTCCAAAGTCAAATTCTTGACAAATTATCTATTAAAGAAACAACTGGTGAATATTATTTGAAACTAAGGAGGTTAGTTAAATCTTAATTATATTACAAATCTGTATGTTTAGATGGATGGATGTTTGACTATGTAACTTCAGAAGGACTTATGGATCTTGTTGAAATTTGTCACATATGTAGAACATAGTCCAGAACAGTGATGGCGAACATAGATGTGTCAAAGTGCCATTTTATTAGAACAAATTTTTAATGCAGCCTTGGAAGTGCTATCGAATGATTTTGACTGATTATTACGTCTATTCTATGGTACACCTACGTCATAACTTTTTCGTAGTGTTTTTATGATTATCGAAGAGCCAAAAAATTATGTCGTGCCATTTATGGCACATATGCCAGTGGTTCGCTACCCCTGGTCTAGAAGAACACATAGACTACTAATTAAAGATTTTCTGCTTGTATGGAGTTGTTATCGATGGCTAGCTTCAAATAATTTTATTGTATTTATCATAAAGTTATTAATTTTACATTTTTAATGTTTTTCAGGTTTATGGAAGCGGAGGCAGTATATGAAGATTTATTAAAAAGAAATCCAGAGAATGTAATGTATTATCAGAAGCTAATTGAAGCTAAACAGCTTAGTAAAGCTGAAGATATTGTGGCCTTCTTTGATGTATATAAGTAAGTTAAAGTTTTCATATGTTGATTTTATAAAAAAATATGTGGTGTGGGCAAAAATGGCTATTTCTCTATTAAATAGCGGTATTTGTACATTATAGCAGTTATATTCAACCAAAGATAAATGAAAAAGTGATACATGTAACGATATATGTAATAAATCTTTCTTTAAACTTAGTAAATTAAACATTTTTAAATACAGTAACCAAAATTAAGTGACCTTAGATGTAAAAGTCGAGTTTATTCTTATTTAATAATGTTTTTTTAATTATATAAAATTGTATGTTTTTTAAAGTGTTCATGTTTCCTTTTACTAAATAAATTATTTAAAATGTTTCAGAAAAGAGTATCCAAAAGCAATAGCACCTCGAAGGTTGCAGCTGAATGAAGCTCATGATATTTCTGTGTTTGAGAATCTTGTAGATCAATATTTAAGACGAGGTTTGCACAAAGGTGTACCTCCTCTTTTCATAGACTTAAGGTGAGTAAAATGTATAAATGTACCAATTGACATTAAGCAGGGAATTACATATGAAATGCGACTCAACATTAATAAATAAACAACTGAAATGTAAATAAAAAAAAAACAAAAGTACTTACTTTTGCCTACGTATTAAATTTAATCTAGATCAATTTAGCCGTTTAGCCAAAAAGTTCTAACAAACATCTATCCATCGATCTAAATGTTTACATTTATAATATTAGTACAAGTAATTAGATGGAGAAGTAACATTAAAAGTTGTCAAAATATTTAAAAATAAACATTTGTAGTAATATTAAGATAGTGATAATATTCAATATTCTTCCAAAAGAAGGAGGTACTCAATTCGTCTGTATGGTTTTTTTTTTAGCATTTTTCTTTACATAGCCATTAAAAAATGACTTGAAATTCACACTTTTACAAAATAGTGGACAAACCAGTGTTAATCAAAATTTACTATACACTCTATCTCATTCCAGAACTTTATACGAAGATAAAAGCAAAGCGGAAACGATAGAAAAGTTAATATTACAATATATAGATAATTTAAAGAAATGTGAACGTTTCTCACCCGAAGATAATGAAAAGTCTCCGGCGAGTGCGTTATTGTGGTCATATTACTACGCGGCGCAGCACTTCGACCACAAGATGGACACGGACAGAGCACTGCAGTATATAGATGCGGCGATAGAACATACGCCAACGCTCATAGAATTATTTATTATTAAAGGGAAAATATACAAGGTAAGCAAATTTGACAGCGGTAGCGCCCGCTTTAACATATTCGCGAATGGGTCGCTTAGTGAAATTAAGGGCCTGTCCTACCACGGGCAGATAGAGACTCAGATAGCCTAAAAATGACTGACAAGTCACTGTCAGATAAAGGAATAAAATCCGATATTTCCATCATATATTTTGGACGTTGGATTGATCAGACAACTTGTAATTTTCGAAATTTCGAACGACCACACAGAGGACAGGCGTGAAGTGGGAGCTATTGCGCGTTTCGTCGTCGTGAAAGAATTTTCAAAAACGGCCCAGTACTTTTTGAGTTATTTTAATATGTACAAAAATACAAATGTTTCCACTTTATAATATTATTATAGATTTTGGTAGACTACATAGTTATAAAACTTTTAATAAAAATTACATGTTAATCTCACAAATGGAAATTACCTAATGCACCTTCCATATGTTTTGACAATACTGCTTTGCGTTTCTTTAGTTTTATATGTTTGTATTTAGAATCTAATAATCTCTTAGTTGCATAAGATAAAATGTGAATCTATGAGTTTCTCTGCTCGGTATTAAAATAAAAGTTTAGTTATCTATGTGTTCTTTCAGACTATTATAGTAATAATAACTGTAGCCCGTGACTACGTCCGCGCGATAAAAAAAAATTTGTAAGACCATTCATCAAGATCTGTAAAGCCGTTTAAGCTACAAACTTCAAACGTCCATCTATCCAAACTTTCGCATTTATAATATTAGTAAATATTAATATTATATGTTGTTATTTTGCAGCATGCCGGTGATCCAGTGCTGGCTTACAAGTGGCTGGAGGAAGCCCAGGCGATGGACACAGCGGACCGCTACGTGAACAGCAAGTGTGCTCGGTATATGCTGCGTGCGGGACATCTCAAGCGAGCTGAGGATATGTGCGCCAAGTTCACCAGGGAAGGTATGTACCAGTGTAACTTAGGGCCTGTCCCACCAAATGGTATATTGTCTAACAATCCAACGAGTAAAATGTGTGATGGAAATATCGGATTTTGTTCCCTTATCTGATTGTGACGTCATTTTTAAGCTATCTGAGCCTCTATCAGCCAGTGGTGGGATAGGCCCTTAATCTATCAAAGGATGAAATCAGGTTCCACGAGAGGCTTGAGCTCTTGTTATAATAGCTGTTATTGGTGTCATCCACATGAAATTATATTTTTTTTTGTTTTTTTTTTGTCCTATTCACAATTGCAAATGTCGAAATTCAAATGCACTGATGACAACAAAGGCCTTCGATATTGGATAACAATTACTTCTGCTTCCTCAATGTTGGCAGCTTGTAGTTTATGGTCCTTTTTCCACGGAATAGATTTTTACCAATTTATTTATCCCCTCAATTTAATATCGTGAAAATATATAGCCTAAAGCGTGTTGCAAGTGTAGAGATTTTTATTAAAGAAAGAATTATTCAAAAATTTTCTGTGATTGTTGACATGCTACGCCACAAATTAGTTTACGCTTATTTATATTAGTATAAAGGACAAAATACCTAGCATAGGGGACGCTTCAATCGCCTTTTAACATTTTGTGATGTTTGTGATGTAATTGTCTTGTTGGTATAGTTATGTTGTATTGTGCAGGCGTGCCGGCGACGGAGAACCTGAACGAGATGCAGTGCATGTGGTTCCAGACGGAGGCGGCGGCCGCCTACCAGCGCCTGCAGCAGTGGGGGGAGGCACTCAAGAAGGCGCACGAGGTCGACAGAGTAAGTCACACATTTAAATGAATAAATAAATATCAGTTTTGCTTGACTTTTTATGTTATGCTAGCTTTCGCCCGCGATTCCGTTAAAATGGAATTAAAAAATACAAAAAGAAAAGCCTATGTGTCCTTCCAGAATAACCTCTACATCTGTGTAAAATTTCATCGAGATCCGTTCAGTAGTTTAGGCTACAAACTCTGACAAACATCCATCGATCTAAATTTTCGCATTTTTGTAATATAAACCTTTTGTTCTTATAATCAACTTTATACTAATATTAAAAGGGTTAGGTGGATCGATGGATGGATGTTTGTTAGAGTTTGTAGCCTAAACTCCTGAACGGATCTTTATGAAATTTGGCATAGATGTAGAGGATAGTGTGGAAAAACACATAGGCTACTTTTGTTTGATTTTTAAAATTCCACGCGGACGAAGTTTCGGACGAAAGCTAGTTACTGATGTTTTAGAAAAAATATTTCAAAGTTATAATAGACATTATTCAACGGTTTTATTATTTTGTGATCTATATGTGTATAAAATACTAGTATTTATTTGTATTTGGATTGTAGAATGTGATATTGAAATGTTGCAGCACTTCTCCGAGATAATGG